AATAAAGTGACTGCGAAATGTTTAGTGAATTATTTGGAAACTGGTAACAGCGTTTTCATGTTTGCGCAGGTTTATCACATCTGTTTAATCCAATATGTGAATAATATTCTATAAATTTGATTTCAATTCGACACGCACCGTGGATGGAAATATTATTTTCTTTCCTGACGATTTTCGCTCATTAATTACATTATCTTATAATCATTTGTTGCTTGTGTGTTTGAGGAATAGAATAATACAAATTTATTCCATAAAATTTATTTCCAATCACTCCAGCAGAATTATTTCAAAACTAGTGAACTTACTTCAGAATAAGTTATGTCTATTACATTCTTAAAATGCCAAAAGTTTAGTGTCCCCGATAATTTGAAAAAGAGTTATACGATTCTGATATAATTCACTTAATAATTCAAAGACGTCATTGAGCTTGATGTAATTAAATTTTAAAAAAATATGAAAAAAAAATCTGGATATGCTAACCTGAAGCATACAGTAATACACGAAGAAAGCATCGCACGAAGATGTATTCAACGATTCTTTCTTTGATACTAACGTCATTTAGATATAAAATATTTTTTGAAAATCAAAATGCTGCATATTAAGTAGAAATTGGAGACTTTTGTGTAGACTTGTATATATACATATTGTATTGTAATTTGCCTCAATAGGAAAATATCGTACATGAGTTTATCTTCTAATTATTATAGTTCACCGGTTTCGATGAAACTCAGCACCGTCCATCATTACTAAATTGAGTTGTTTTCCATCAATCTTTTTTGACCTAATTGCTTCCTTTACAAAATACTTCGAGCAGTGGTTCTGAACTTGGAAAAATAAGCATTAAATTCATTTATATTTTTAGGGATTTATATTTTGTATCTGAAAAACAAAATGTGATCTATGTTACGTAAATGAGACATTTGTTTATAGAATTTATATGATTATAATTTTAGTGTCAAAACTTCGTTAAAATTCAATCAATACACAGGAAATTATGAATACAGTTACTCCTGTAATTTTTTTTCCTACATATGAAATTGTACTCAATAAAAAATGTCTTCGGTGAATACCGTATCCAGTTCTCAAGATTAGTTGCAATACCGTATAATATAATATACGATTGTATATCGTATTGTGGTAATTTGTTTGGAATATTATGAAAAGAATGGAAGAACTAAAAGAAGAATTCCGGGAAAAAAAATTTTCATTTTCATTTTCACATGTAGATAGCACTCTTGATGATATTTCAATGAATCCGATCTATATAGATAAGAAAGAAGCAGAAAACGTTAACACGAGTATATAGAAATCATAATTAGTTCGCATTTTTAATTTTTTCATCGATACTATTTATTAGATAGTATATAAGTAATAACGAGAACGCATGGTCATTTTGACTCGGATACAAAAGGAACAGATTCATATATAGAAAATTTTTATTGTCTTTTCTGCGAATCGCACTGCAAAAAAATATATTGAGTGTGTATTCAATACTAAAACTACATTGCAACTTATTTCAACAAAATCTTAATATGGAGCTTCAAATGCTATTGCAATTTTATTAGGCTGTAATATTTGCAAGTACCAGCAATATGGTAATCAGTTATCGTGCTCAACAATGAAAATTTAATGCAAATGAAATATTTCCTGCTCAAGATGAGTTGCGGCTGCAAGCTGTTCAGTAGATACTCCAGTTTTGCTTTTGTATAATTTTGCAGATCAAGTCTCATTAGAAAATATGCAAATATTATTATATCTACATTGTTTGCTATCAATTTTATTTAGTTATGTAATATATTCAACGTTTATGCATCTCTTCATTTACAAGGTGATCCATAAATCAGGTCATTTGGGAGATATTCTTGGCAGAACAATGACTTTTATGCGTCCTAGATTACGGAAGTTTTTAGGTACAATCATACACAAACAGAAAGAAGTTCCTGTGTTAAATTTTTAAATAAATTTTTCTTCATTTTTGTAGGATTAATACATTTTCTGTTTTTTGGGGATAACCCTGTAAGTGACAGATATGGAAAACCATAGTTTGCTAACTTACATGTTTCATCTGTAAATTATTTTCTAAATATTGTGATCTACAAACTTTTAACGAATCAATAGCTTTAAATAAATACTTTTATAAAATAATATGATCTAATGTGAAAATATGACAATAATAAATTTTATATAAAATTTTAAAATCTATCTATCTATAGAACTATATATATTTTGTTTCAAATCAGCGTTCTCCGGTCAATAACTTCATTTTTTCTATTTTTTCGTCTTTTATTATTATAAGCTTATACCCTGTAAATTAAAATAAGAAAATTTGTTCAGATGGAACAATATCTCACTAAATAAAATAGCGTAATTGTAGTCTACCAATTTACAAGATGTTGAGTTGACAGCTCAAATAAAACTTGAAAAACTTTCAACTTTATCGAGCTTAGAATACCCATAGGCCGTGTTGTTAAACACGGTTTACGTATCTTTCATGCTTGTGAAACCCTATTAACAAACACGACAGTGAAAATTACTTCAATAATTGTAATTTGCATAATTTGAGAAAGATTGTTCTCATTGTATACAAATAGTTTATGTGTTTTGATTTACATGAAATTGGATAATGATGACTGATGTTAATGATACCTGATATTTAATGGGTTGAGCAATAATTAACTCCTACATTGCATAGCATAATGCTTCTGTGTGAAGAAAGAGAAATGAGTGGATAAAATGAAGAACGCAACATTTGTTTGTTTTGATTTCTTTGGATAGACAATCTGTAGATTAGATCAGAGTTAAGGTTTTAACTACACTACTTTTACTCGTAAATGAATATTGAGGATATATATTGAAGAATTGTCATATTTTTGTTGAAAATTGAGATTTCTACTGGGGGTGTCATCAAAATTTACGATTAGCATTTTGCATTGTACATTTGATGCAAGAAGGGGCCAGCATCTCGTATTTGTAGTAACTTTAGCAGAATTAATAAATCGAGAACACGTTGACGTGTACTGTTTTGAACAAGCATCAGTTATTTGTTGTTGACACCTGCAAAGTTATTTCTGGGGGCATGTGGATGATTTTTTTTTATAAATAATAAAATGTTGTGCTATTTTATTTATATTCTCATATTACACGAACAGAGTATATATGTTAAAATAAAAATAGCGTCTGAAAAAAGAGTACAAATTAAAAATCTAGATACTAAATGAGTTCGTCCCCTTTTGACCATTCACGTCATATTTGTCTTAGTAAGGTGACTATCTCGTCAAATCACGACTTGTGTTGATGAGAATTTAATCTTAACAAGCAAATAATACCTGGATTTTTTTTTTTTCAAAATTCCGGTTTAGCCGGTGAAATTTGTTACAAGACTTGGAGCATACAGAATAGATAAAGACGACTTAGGAAACTCAATATTACAACCACGTGTTTCATATAACAGGGGTTCAATATAGGATTAGTGTTACGATCATTTGTAAGCAATCTACCTCATCAATAGTTTGGATGTTTCAGAGCACGATCACAATTAAATGGCGCATTATTCATACAATATTCGGGTGACTAACTCTTTGTAGTATAAGAAACGTCCAAGAATCCATATGACCAAGCATTATATAAATATATCTGGAAATCGTACAGCTTAAACAAATAAGATAGCAGTGCATCTGAGTTCAAAAATTACAGTTAAACTGTTAAAAAGTGACAGAAAATTGTAGAAATTTTCTTATATTTAGAAATTAAATTGGGGTATGCGTCCATATATTTATTCCTTTTTATTTGTGTTAAAATCTCTGATGAATCTAACACTTGAAAATTGTTACGCGTCTCGTTTTGTTACGAAATACACTGTAAATTAGGTTAAAATATCATTTTAATATCCATTCAATTTAACGTCATAAGGTCCGTATGGCAAAGGACTTCCCCAAATTAACCTTATGACCCGCACGAATAAGCTACAAAATTTTTCAAAAATACCATACCATACCTGAGCTTGAAAACAATTGTCATTGAGATTATTTATATTTATATTCAAGTAACAAATAAAATATTGCCAAATATAACCGACAGTATGGCCAATGATTGTAAAGACTTTCCTTATAGGCTGCTATTGTTCTATTTTGAGCGTATAATACTTGCGCCTGTGATAACATGCCGTGGGTGTTTTAGCGGAAGCGATAATGCAAAGCAGTATATTAAATTAAAAGTATATATTCAAGTGTTCTCCATATCTGGCAGCAGTAGGTTTCTTTAGATATGTAGTAAGACAAGTTTTCCAGATATAAATTTTTTTTCAGTCAGGTAGAATCTGAAATACGGGTAATTAGATTTACTCATTGTGTTAGGTGATATCAGGTCTTTGTATACGACTAATAGTCAAATAATTAACTGTTTTAGCTATGACGCCTGTTTCCGTGTTTCAAATTAAAATTTGCTCGTACTTATGAGTGAGTCCACTTAAGGCTACCACAAATATTAGTTTATGTAAGGTCTCAAAAATGAGAAGAATGTCAAGTTTAGATTTGAGAACATGAACCAATCCCTCAACCTACTTTGTTTTATCGGAAAACTAAACTTCGCAAATTACCGATCGACTAATTATTAGAGTAGTCTGTCAACTGACATACAACGGTATCATATACCATTGCCGGTTTCGAGTAGGTGTTCTGTGCTAATGTTCTGCTTTGTATATATGTATGATTAAGATTCTTTTACGTCTGAATGTGCGTATAGATAGATACTCAATGAAAAAATGTGCGTGGTCTTTGGAGTTGGAAACGTTCAAACCTCAAATTTAGCTTTGTTTTGTATAACATTTTTGTAAAAACCATCACAAAGTTATTCTTCGTAAATGGTATCAATATTGAATTATATTAGCTATAAACAACCTTTGACAAAATTTATAGATTTATTGAGTGGTAATTCATTTTAACATGTTTATTGTGCTCAAATGATTAATTGCCCGCTTTGGGACATCGATGGTATATAGTTGATCTGTTTGAAATTTATAAATATTTAGTACTGGGTTATATACTGGTTTCTCTGCCTGTCGTTCGCATTTGCAAAGTGTTGTTACTGTAGTAAACAGGTGTCAAGTAATCGGATGTCAAGCATGTTATCCGTCATAAAGAACATTCATTAATCTGTGTGGACTGAGCTGTCGACCGAAGTAGCAGTTCATTAACGTATGTGGTCGATAGAGTATTGGTTTGTGTTATTTTTAACATATAAAGATCAAATATTTCTAGTAAATATGTCAGAACATTCATAGTTTAGAGCGAGTCCGATATGAGATTACCCGATACATTTCCTGACAAGATTTTTTTTTCGTTTTCTTTAAAAGTTTGCGGTACCAGTCACGCCAAACTGTAACGAAATTATTGCATACGAAAGACACAAAAATCTATTATTGGTTTATTCTCGTTTTTTCGAATTATATTACGTTTTACTGATGTATTTATAATAATATTCTAATTCAGTTAAAATGTCAGCCATACTCCTATGGATTCACGTAGCATTCATTTACACGGGCTACGTACTTTCAGACGACATACCATGCCAGGAGGGATCAGGTACATTATTTGATTGATATTTTACTCCAAATTTAAAAACAAAGAATAACAGTAAATCAGAACCGTCTATTGTTTTTTGCATATATAAGATTTTTCCAATTACTGAATTGTCCTTTCGTTAGAAAGTGTGTCCGACAAAAGCACCAAATTAAATGATAGTATACTACATTGAGTTTAAAATAATTTCCGTAGAAGCTCCATGATCAACCGCAATATGTATATTTTAATTGCTTTCATTGTGCATAATTTTTGATGGCATCAATTATCTACTGTATAGCCCGTATAGAGGGGGGCATTTTTTATTACCTTATTCATGTCATATCTCAAAATTTTTCTTTTTAGCACAACATACAAACATATATTTTGCCAATGTTACGAGCAACTTTAACTTCGAGATATGGAACAAAAGTAATCCGTACAACTACTCACTTACAGTGACCTACAAATGGGATCTTGAAATTCCAAGAGGTAATTTATTGTTATTGGACACAATTGCTGGTATTTTTTAATTGTTTTGTTGTTGTTTTATTGTTTGCTCTCTACAACTGATGGAACAATCCATTTCAATTTTTTTTACACTGGAAGAAGAGAGAAATCGAAGAAAGACGATTACTTTTTTTTTGTTTTTATTCTTTTTTTATGGGTCCAGGGTCCAACGTTGCCGACAATTCACTCGAAATTTTGCTGTTTCAGTTTAATTGGTTGGATTATATTTTTGAAATACGACGAGACTTTTAACCTTGTTGGATAACTTTGACAGTGAAGTAAGTCTGTAGCGAGATTCTTTGGGACATTGTAAGATATCAGTAACTGCTTATACCTACGTTGGCCATGAAGTTTTAATCCGAGAACCTGCAACGCAACCATAATAACGATAAAAACCGCAGACCACCAGATCTTTGAGTCCACCATTTTATTTTTTATTCATTTTTTTTCACAGATTTTGTTTTTGATGGATTTTTATACAAACACGTAGATAGGGAGAAGGAAGAAAAGAAACTATCGTCACAAAATATTGGATTTGGCTCTCTTTTCGGGATATCATCATTCGAAATACAAGGTACGAGCAATCTTAAAATAAATAGGTTTTACAGTAAAAATTTCTTGATTTATATAGGCTTTAGTAATTTATATTAAAGTTAACATTTTGTGCAATGTGTTGACATCATTGTGCAATGTCTATATATATAAACTAATAATCGCGGTGATCATCGAGGTACCTTGAAATATTTTGAGTTTAAAAAATCACAAAAAATAATATTTTTTAAATTTTATGCGCAGCCATAATCTGTGATTTGATTTTTTTTATCACACAGGACTTGCGTCATTGCCAGAGGATAAGTGAGTTTTGTTTTGATTGTATTTTGTGAGCTTGAATGGCTGAATTAGTGTTTTCATGTTGTCAAAACATTTTGACAAGAAAGAAATACCGTTATCCTAGCTATGCGTACCATACTTTTTCTTTTAATTCTAGTCCATCTCTAAATGCAAACAATTGCTAGTCTGGAGTTTTGTATAGATCGAACAAGTAATTATTTTAATGAAAAAATTAAAACTTTAGGCCTAATTAAATAATATATGAAGAGCAATGATATATTCGATATGTGTTCGATTAACCGTGCTTTTACATCGAAAGACATTAGCAATACCTAACGAAAGAGATTGGACCGCTTTCATAGGCAATTTTCCCAATTTGCCTACAAACCACAAACAGGATTGATTTGGTTCCACTTTTGCTATTTGATCAAAGGCCAATAATTACATTTCGTTGGAGTATGATTAGTATAATCCCATAAAAGGTTTTATCTTATCCATTATTCCCAATGGTGAGGATAAGTAGACTCCCCCAGCAAATATTAAACAGATTGGACTATGTTCAAAAATTTGGTGAATTTTCTGATTTTTGCATGTTTCTGCTCGGTTGAAAAAATTCAAGTATTTGGGTTTGTTCATATGAAAAAGCATAAACACAAAAGTATGTCATTACTATATAAATATTTTCTAAAGTCTATTCGAATCGATTTGAATCTTTAACTATATATAGTAGTATGAGGCTACTATGTTTTTAAGAAATCAGAATTTCCTCAGTTCGGCCCATAATTTGTCCATTTTGTTGCAACCTATGTCAGATGATAGGCGTGGGTTTTCATCTTTCACCTTCGACGCCCACTTTGTTATTCTCAAAAAGCTATTACTAGGACATCGAATCAATGGGTAGCGATCGTGGATTTACCGACTGATTAACTTGTTTCTGTTCGGGAGTATTTGTTTCATGTTTAATTATCCTTTATTTTTCTGTTTTTGTAAAATATATATATTAAAATATATGTATTATATTTTATTTTGCAGAAAATGTGACAATAGTAGCGACAAATCTCTGTGGGCAGTCAACGATAATGGTAGTTCAGTCGAGTGTAAAATTCCATGTTCCGAGTATTTTCCACCTCCATGCCAATCTAATGAAGTCTGCTCTAGAATTATAGAGGATGGGTTTTCTACTTTACCCAGAGTAAGTTCAACACCAATTATTTAAATTTATGTGAATAAAGGCCTCGTACGCCGGAAAATTCCATACCTTATCAAAATTAGGCTCAACCATAAAGTGGAATAAAAATATCCTAACAATTTTGTCCAATCTTTTGGTTTCCAGGAGGCTAATCAATTGGAAGTTGCGTTGGAGTTTGGACGAAGTTATGACATGAAAATATTAATATATCGCCATTGGAAAGTGCTGAAGACATATGAATTTCCTCACAACAAAATTATTCGATTTTGTCGAGATGAATTGATCGACAAACAAAAATATGAGCCTGGATTCGCTGATGCATTTTGCGAAAGAGAACAAGACATGCAAGGTGACTAAGATGGTGACCGTACATTTGAACCCATGTGTATATCCACGGGTTCAGTCTATATGCGGGTGCTAAAACCCATGGGTTCATATATCTGTAAAACAAAAAATTTTTCAATAGTATGCAGGTGCAATTGCCGTGGGTTCAAATGTACGTTGGTTCAAATGTAATGGAACCGACTAAGATAGATTTGGTTCTTCAAAATCATTTGCTGCTGCTAACCCTCACGAACTTGCAAAACTAAAATATATACATAGAGCAAATATATCGTCTCTACTCTAGAAATACCATTCTTCAAGATCATCAAATTAACATGACAGCAAAGCTCAAATTAAATGGACTCGAAGGTCCAATACCTAACCGCAGTGCCGGTAGCTTACGCGACTCATACGAACATGTGTCTAAGTACCGAGTTCGCAAAATCAAAACGGAGAACAGCCTTGACGTAGGCCGCCACGCTTGGTAGAATATAAACGGTGTTCCCGTGAATAAAAATAAAACAGTAAAAAAATTTGGGTGGACTATTAGATCTCATAGAATCCGTAAGAAATTTAGGAACAAATAAAAATGATAGCCTTCTGGCGACAACAATAAACTTCAATCATCAGAAACTTCCATAGCAATCAATCCACAAGTTAGAGAAAATCGATGTATTCACAACAACAATACCACAACAACAACAACACAATAACAAAACGATCCATAGGTTCATTTGTGTCCAATATTTGAAACTGTGTGCTCTGGCAGTGATAATGTATCAGTTCTATCTCAAATCTGTATCTCCATTAACACTACTTTTCGATGAACAGTGAACAAATTCGTTTTTTTATGTAGAATCGACATTGAGTGCCGGGCCGATATCATACTTTGAAATGTATTCTGTGAACCGTGATCTTCGAACAAATCGTGGAAATGTTGGTTTCCGGTGGAAAGCTCCTATGGATATTTCTAAACGAGTCAATCTCACCGGATTCCTGATCAACACACACAGCGGCCTTGGCCAAGATATCGTGATAGTATGATTTGTATTTAAGTATTCTGATTGTTGAATTTAGAAAAATTAAGAGTCTCCGTATAGTTAAATTGAGTCACTCACAGACATGAAAACATTACTTACTTTTTCGAGCTGTATACTGTTCAATAGGAAATATATATATATATATATAAAGTGTTGAAGGAATGATTTTAAAAACTTTAGGTAGGTTTGAACTAGGAATTCTATAACTAAAGATTGAATAATTGAAGATGAGAGAATTATTGCACATTTCGTAAACTGTTCAAATATGTTTTTTTCTAATTCTATTGATAAATGAAATATTGGGAAGTATTATGAAACACTCATGGTTGGTTCAATATATATAACTTTTTGTTATTCATCTTTTTAATGTGAATGTTTGCCATTTTCAGAAAGTTGATCAACATGATGTAGATTTCTTTTACAAAACCTCAGTGAAAAATATTGTGTTTGAAAAACCACATTTGATATCAATTACTCCTATTCTTACATTTGATATAAACATATGTTACAAAAAGTGCAGTAAACACGGTTACATTCTTTCAAAGGAATATACCATTCCAGGTGAGAATTATATTCTTGTAGCACAAGAAAAATATGGTCTCTTGAAATGTTCATATTTTCAAATGACTTGACAAAAGGAAATGTGATTTCTATCCGAAAATAATTTCTTACCACGGACCGTATTGTATGCTTTATTCTATGTAGAAGTGTTCAAAATAAAGACTACTATACCACAATTTCTGCAAATGATGACAATTAAGGCTACCGGACAATGGTGAAATATGTAAACTCACAAATGTCTCGTTATCCTGCATAATAGAGTCTGTTTTATTATTTCGCTAATCATTGGAAGTAGCGATCATAGCAAGATATTATGAAATTCTAAATTTTGATGTGATGTAAATTTAATGCTGGCGTCAAAATTAGCATAATAATGTCACCATGCAATTTCCTTTAGAAAGCAATCACTGCTACTTTGTAGAAGCATTTGAAAAATGCACGATGTTTGCAGCATTTCACATAGAAAAAATTTGCTTATTTCGGTAAATATTTTGCCATGCATACGAGTCATTTTTTGTAAAAAATATTATCATCTTTCCTATCTGAAGAATGACGGCGCAGTGATATGAGTTATACAAAACTCATTGCAACGCAGGCCTATGATGTGCCCCAATAAAAAGTTCAAAACCGTATGCCGGCTCTCAAACAAATATTCTAGCACAACACTATTTCGACACAGTCATGTAGTTTTTGAATTGAGTCTCCTAAAAAAGGATGTTTACAATTAATAACTGATCGTGAAGCGAACAACTCAGTTTAATCGCCAGTATTAATATACAAACATACCATTTTCGTGTTTTGAGCAAACTGAGGTGGCAATACTTATATATAAACAAAAATAATACATAATACTTTTACAAATTTCGCACCAGACGTATTGGAGAAACTTCTTTATTCATCGACAGATATTGATGCATGTGATGAACCGACAAGATACTGCGATATCATTGCAAACTGCACGGATCTGCCAAGCCAAAACACTACGTCAGCTATTTGTTCATGTCCCATTGGATTTAGTGGAAACGGAATAAATGACTCCAGGTCGGAAGGAACTGGTTGCCAAAAGATAAATCGTTGTAATTTTTCAATAGAAAGTTACCCTTGTCATTCTAACGCAATATGTGAAGATTTTGACTCGACTTCTGAAAGTGTTATCTGCTCGTGTCCGTAAGTCGTAAATGTTTCTATAGTTAAGCATGTGAAAATTTGTACCGTGTATGTTAAATGAGGCGCGAGGTCAACATGCAACTCAGCTATGAGCAGCACCATAACAATTGCTTGAATATATATATATATATTCTTATGGCATAACTTCATTAGGACAAACATTTTTGTATTACAATTTTGAACTCATCTAACCGAATCCTACGCACTGCTCATTGAGCCAATGAAATATTCAACAAATTTACAATTTTTTAATCGCCATTCGAAAATCGCCATTGTGAGTTTAAAACTTACCCAGAGATGAAGTTAGACGTAAACTATATTTTGTGATATGCTTTCAGGAAATATTATGTCGGTAATGGATACAAAGAAGGATATGGATGTATGAAGTTATCTATTGTGGTGTTTCTTTCAATAGGATTACCATGTATATTCATATTTCTCATAATACTCATGATGTTGATGAGAAGAATAAAAATAACAAGAAAAAGGTCACTGATTATGTAGTTTAAAAGTTTTTACAAGTGACACGAGCATTTATTTTACGGTTGTAGTGTTATTACAGGAATTGTTCCAATTATCACCAAACATAACCAAATTATTGATGCATCCAAAAAGTGATTTTATTGGCATTAACTTATGTACAGTGGTGGGATTCAAATTTTTTGTCAGCCGGTTCCTTCATACAAATGTCTTATTCTCAAACGGTTCTGTTACAAAAAGTCATGTAATGCTAACCGGTTCGCTGATCTCATAAAATTCCGTGAGACGGTTCCATAGAGCCGGTGCAAACCGGTTGAATCCCACTACTGCTTATGTATGAAATTGGATTGAACTACGTGATATTTGATATAGTAGTCAAAGGGTGATAGACAAATTTTAAGCTTTTTTTTAAGTTTCAGTTTTTTTAGGTACATATTGAATAATGAAATGAGCGTAGATGGGATGCTATCACAGAGCAAATTGCAACTAAAATCTAACATGTTTGACCTATTTTAATTCCAATAATATACAAACCATTGGTGTTTTACTATAAATACTTTAACTGTGTAGATTCATTTGTGCATAATCTAACGTAAAAAAAAAGTTTTATATATAACATTTGTCTGTCCTATGTTTCAAAGACAACAAAAACTTCTGTTTAAGAATGTTCGTAGTGAAACGAGATGAAATCCAGGCTGATACAGTGATTCCTATATGTTCAGCAATTTGACGTGATAATACAGTTGCAAGTATAATAAACTAACTAATGTATCGAATGTTTATTACAGAACTATCAGAAGAAAATTCTCTAAATTTGTTATGACGAGTGATGCAAAATATACATCACCTGATTGGTCGATCAAATTCAACAACAATACAAAACAATGTGGATTGTTTGGTGAAAAATATGAAATTGATAGGAATGACATCCAGTTCACAGGTATGAGATTAATAAGTACAGGAGAATATAGAGGTAACAGGATCTTGGAATAGTTTTTTTCTCGTTGCTTTATTTTTGCTTCCATTCTTCAGAAATCATTGGCCGTGGAAATTTTGGAGTTGTTCACAAAGCAATTCTGAAAACCAAGGAAAACGAATCAAAAGAAGTCGCTGTGAAAACAACAGCAGGTGAACAATTATTCCTTCAAAATTTGATGGGAAAAGCATCGTAGTCTAACTGAATTCAAACTTTTTTTTATGTTGGAAGATTTAAAGTCAAAAAAATTAGTAAGAACTACCAATTGAATATTTTCGTGTCAGATCATAAGTATCAGACCGTGTTATACAAGGATAAAAAGTTGATGTATTCTAAGAGATTAGTACTATTTTTTTGATATTTGCTACAGAGCCCCACACGATAGAAATGGAAATGGAATTTCAAGCCGAAATTTATCTTATTACTTCACTGAATAAGCACGCCAACATCATGGGAATGATTGGATGTTGCACAATGGGGAAATCACCCATATACCTTGTTACACAATTTATGAAATATGGAGATTTGAAACATTTTCTATGGGATGCAAGAGAGGTATTTGTGTTGACGCTTTGTTTATGTTTGCACACTGTAACAAACATTTTGTCTAATTTTTCAATGAGATAGATATCATAATCCAGCCATATCAGAAATAATACAGAAAGCAATCCCGGTTAGTTGAAAAGTTTTCAGCCGGGTCACGCTCTACGTGACAAATTCTGTCCCTAACTTTATTGAAATTCGGTAGCAAGAATATTTATTTATTAAAACTGGGCTGAAGCAACTATATGCTCTGTAGTCAACTGTATTTGATTAATTGGTAATTTTAAATTTGGTGTTGATTTCGGAACTTCAAGAATATTTCAAATTCGTCGGTAATGAAGTTTTGCAATTGGATCGGGTTCGCCCCACAAAAGTTAGAACGTTTATAACTATGGATTGAAGTGTTTGAAAAAGGTCTCAAATGAATTACCAATAGTTAAGACGAATACACCAGTAAGCTATACCTTACGAGGCTCACACAATTTCCGCATTCTTCATTTTGTCATGTTTCATTGACGCTATTTTGACTTATACTATATGTTTTATGTCGCCAGTGACTAGTCCTATTATTTTCAGGAAAAAAACAGAGCCCGTGATCTAATATACAATATTACTGGAAGGGATATTTACAGAATTGGTGAACAAGTTGCGTGTGGAATGGAATACTTAACTGGGTTGAGATTCATTCATGGAGATCTTGCTGCCAGAAATGTCTTAGTTGATGAGGTGTTGAAATATTATTAGTATTTACAATTATGAATGGATATTTAATAGTGTTTAAAAGTATTAGGAAGAATATATCGCCATTTATGCTTTGTGAATAACGCGAGATGACAACCAAAAACATATGTCTGAAAATATGATGTTTTGATATCGTCACAATACATCGCTGTTGAGGTGCTATCTCGTTCGAATCGATTGGTGGAAATCCACAGTATAGACCAATTAACAAAAACTAGATAGTGATCGGAGACCGCCGACTTATCGAACCTGGGTTTCGATTCCTTCGCTCTGATTCAATAGCGACATCGCGTGTCCCATCACTAATTAATACGCTTCTGGCCCGAGATATGATGAACGCACATGCAAAATTTGGAGCAGATTCAGCCTCGCTTTCGTGAGATATCGCGTAACATACGAAAGTGTCTAACAGACAAACAAACAAACAGACCTACCTATCAACATACTTACCGATCGAGATCGCTAAGTAAAAACAGCAAAATTTGACAGTGAAATTAGCAGACCAATTAGTGTTAACAATACGTTCTTCGAAAAAACTAATATAAAAGACGAGCAAAATATGCTTAGCGTGGTGAAACTCATTTGGAGTAATTTTCATAAAAAATTAAGAAACTATCTTTGCGGTAATTGTTTACCCAATACACACAACTTTTTCATTAATAATCTGATCTAAAAAATTTTTTTTTTAAAGGGACTTCAATGTAAAATATCAGACTTTGGACTAACCAATGACGTCTATCGGTATGGTGTTATAAAAGGAGCGAGAGAGAAGAAAGTACCCCTAAGATGGATCAGTCCTGAACGAATGTTGAATGGAACAGTTCCAATAACTTGGAGAAGTGATGTGTAAGTCACGTATTGATTCTTATTAGTGGAACTTTAATATTTGATAATGAACTGTAAATAAACTCACAAGATACAAATATACAAGTACAAAATTGTTCGTTTGTAAGCTGGAAAAACATATTTCAGATGGTCATTTGGAATACTCTTGTACGAAGCCATCACCCTTGGATCAACTCCATACCCTGGAATCGAATCGGAAGATTTGTTGAAAAAAGTTCAATCGGGATATCGGATGAGTTGTCCGTCAACCTGCAGTCAACATTTGTAAGTACAGGTATTTTGTGTCAAAAGGAGGAATAGCAAAGTTTAATATTGCGTGTCAATTGCTTCGTGGCTGCTGTGTTACAGGATGCATGCAGGCGTATATTGCTCTGGAACATGAATTCTCACTAGTAATGCTTTAAATTGTATCTGATTGTTCTTGTAGTAGCGAACTATTGCTGATATCTTTGCATTAAGAAGCTAATACATTTACATCAAATCTAGATATAACGTCATGTTGAATTGCTGGGAGTGGATACCATCGAATCGACCATCTTTCAAACAACTGAGAGAAACATTGAAAATGCCTGTAACAAAACTGAGACAACATTATGTTAATATATCGGCTGTTGAGTACAATTCATAATGTAATCACTCGACGTTTTTAACCTCAACAATGTGGTTGAGTTTCACATAACATTTACGAACAATTATTTCAATACGTTATTAATTGCATGTAACCTGAAAGGAAAGTAGTAGTAAGTGATAGTCGTAGTTGATGAAAAACAAAATCGTTTTAAGATGTTATTATTATTTTGTTGGTATTTGTAGCTCAATATTTGTTTTACCAATTGTAGTTGAACAACAAGTAAGCAAACATGCATATTTTATCTTTCATTTCTACTGATATATTTTGTAAAGACATGTATTCACGGACACAAGGACACACCATGATAAGTGGAAAGACGAAACCATGTGGGAAACTGAGGGCATAATGCTTGGACTTGAGGTCCGGCTACGTATTCAATTAAATTGGATTGATTTATTATAGACTGTCATTGTACAATAGTGGTCTTCCTTTTCGTTTTATGTCTATGACAATATTATTCTTTTTTACCTGATCGCTACAGTCAATACACCATTTTATATTTTGTCTCGCAGCAAACGAATGGGTTAGATGAATTCAAACTCCGATTTTTGCAAATTTTTTTCGAGTGGATAAATGGAATATTTCTCCTAATATCTGGATTGTTGTATATCATTATTATCGACCTATTTTTTGATCGTTGTTGTTTACGTTTGTGTGATAAGATAAACGTGTGTCTACATAAATATTTGTTCTTTGTGTTTTCTGTATTATAGCATGTTGAAAATAATTATGCCGGGGATGAAGAGATACATGTTGAGTACGTTTATTTTTATTAATACAGTATTATTAATTTGATTACAGTCCCTACATTGCGGTAGGAAAGAGTGATAGTTTCAAATACTAAGTATATATACTAACCGATATGAAAATGAAGAGATATGTATATCGTTCGTGCACAGTATACAGGCTCGGTAATTTTAAAGTAAGCATGAATAAATAACATACATTTTCTTGAAGCGATGTCTGTCAAGAGATTTACTAACCACGGGTTAACGACCGCACCCGTTGTAGTAGAATGCGCTATCACCACGTGAGTGAATTAAACGGCAAATATTGAAGCTATAAAAATCGAGATTAATAAACAAGACGTGCAAATAGGATTTGTAAATATGGTCGGGCAGTCAAGTTATTGATGAATGGTTAAATAGCAGATAAAAACAAACAAAAATCTCGATATTTTCCTCAGGAGAATATACAAGTTACTGAAGCTAAAAATAAACGCTATGATATTAAAGCACGTGAATGTGATAAGAAGATTTATATCTTTTCATATGAGACAATGAGAAATACTTATTGTGAATAAATTCAAACAAAAGTATTTCCATTCTCAACAAATTGAGCATACATCAAGGAGAATTTCCAATTTTTAGGTGCATTTTGCTAATATCTGTTACTGAACCACATAATTGCTTTATTTTAGGGTGTTTTCAACAGGAATTAATGATTGCCACACAAAAAAGCGAAAGATTTGTGATTTATGTTATATATGTATATACTATGTACATAACTGTTTACCATGAGGCGCCCGAATAAGCTATGATATCCATTGCCCTCTTTTTGGTTGTTAGGTATTTTCTTCCAAAACAGGAATAGTCGTTTAGATGGCGTGAAAATTGGTATTTTAATGAAGATCTATTTTAAAATATAATGGGTGTAGAAGACTGTGGTAAAGTTGCACAAATTTGAATTGATTCTAGATGTCATGAAGAAAGCATCATAATTCAAACATTTATTCGCATTGCAAGTTTTATTTTAACCATTATTTGCTTTTTCAAGCTTGACTTAATTTGTAAGATTGAACAATCTCTCGTAACAGAATCTCATACAGGGTGTTTAAATCAAATACATCTCTTTTGTTCCCCAAATGGGGTCCAATCTATTTTTTATCCATATTTTACAAGATATCAGAAATAGCTAATTTTTTTCATTTTAAATAATGCTTTGTTTGGGACGAAATTTTGATGGAGGATGAAAAGCTATTACGAGGTTATAGTTCTTTTTCGCATTTTTATTATTTTCTTATTCATTTACACGTGGCGTACACGTGGCGTACTTATGCCATTAATCGGGGAAAATAGCTGAAGTGTTATTTTTTAACGACAATCGGTGTAAATTACCTACAGAATGATTCATTCTATTCACCCTAAATTCCAGTATCCTATTCTCCCATTTAAACAAACCCAACAGCGCTTGTTCAAAGTAAAAAATATCTTCCACCTATTGCTATCATGACGATAAGTCAATATAAATCAACCACGAAATTAATGGAAACGAATTAGATGGCTGTCTAACTAAAGCATGTTATACGTTTACTGGAATATATGAAAGTGTCTCTTTATTATGTTTATTTTCTTGTTTATAAAGCATTGTCTACCCCAGGGTGGTCCAAGGTTGTCGTCTTCGCGGGCCACAAAATTATTTTTACATTGTTCGCGGGCCACAATGATGTCAAAAATAGGTGAAAAATAAAATACAAAACAAAACTTTTATTGTGCAATCGATTGATCTTTATTTGTCATTAACGAAACTAAAAAAACACGCAAAATACACCAGAAAATCACTAAAACATGCTAATGTTTTTCTATATCTACGCTTAATGTAAGATTTCAAACTCTTCACAGCGAAGAAAGAGCTCCCGCAATGTAAGTGCTCTCAATCATCGATGGGATTCTCAAAGCAAAATACCTCAAAATTTGGAAATGCTCATTGCTCCCATGATAGCAAAATGCAGTTTTAGATTATATTTGCCATAACTGCAGATTGATTTAGCCTCAAATTTTACCAAATGTAAGGTACAGGAGAGTAATTACTAATTTTTCTGACATATAGTAGAGGCATTTTTTGTAATACTGTTTAGGCTGGTTCCCTAAAGTCACCGGAAGGAATTTTATTGTCAGGCTATAACATTAATATTCAGTTATTATACCTGTTGGAATATATTCCCAGCAAAGATAGAAGACCAGTGAACAATTTGGACTACCCAAGCACACTATTCAATTCCGCTAGTAGTTTCGGCTAGTGTGACACGAGTCAATTTAGTGACATTAGTGAAGTAACAAAACGTCGAAAATATTTTCTGATTATTTTTATGGCGATTCAACACCAAATGCGATATTTTGATTACCCCTCAGCAAAGGCGACGCGGGCCACAGAAAACGACGTTGCGGGCCACATGTGGCCCGCGGGCCTGGGTTTGGACCACCCTGGTCTATCCCATTGAAAAACTTTGAAATGGATATAAACCGTGGTGAAATAAAATAATTTTCCAAATGTACAAGTTGAAAAATTTTCCAACTTTCTTGTAGTTGTTGAGTAAATTAGGGCGAATCGACAAGTTGTACTTGTACTAATTATAGTCATGTCCATCCAATAAAAACGTCGTAAAATTGAAAGGGCCTTTTACATTTACATCATACGACATACATTTTATCAATGATATATTTATATTGTTTAATCGAGCCAAATTTAATCAGACCCTTTAAAATAACGACATTGGGTTATGTTGTGACGCAGACTTATTCGCATTTCTTTGAATCTGGCTAACAAAACAGATGCAAATTACAGGAAAAATATGCGCGGTTTGAAAATACATCCAATCGTAGTCGAATACACAATTTTGTACAAGATAAACACGTCAATATATCATATACATTGCTATATAAATTATAGCAAGATAAACCTATTTACACCGTGAAGTAATAAGAATCAACATTGTAAACTATATGACAACAATGCATTCCATTTTGAGGTCTTTACCATTGCCTATTCCAAGACTATAAATTAGAAATGTAAAAATATTATAAAGTAAATGAATAATAGATATTTGCTGTGCTTATGAAGAGGAAATATAAAATATAGCGGAATGATAATTTGTAGGTCAACAAGTGAACAAGATTAGGCAGGAGTCGAAAATTCTATTTTATTTTATTTGCATTGCAATGCAGGTGTATCGAAAATATAAATATAGATATAAATTCCTAAAAGCTGAGATATTTCTGAATAAACACACGACTTTTAGTCTGAAACGATATAATAACATTTATTTGATTTTTCGCACGTGCTTCTGGAAAAGACAATTATGATCTTAATCTCAAGGCTTTAACTTTCCAAGATGAACAGTACAGTAAGTCAAACAACCACATAAACAAACATGGTGTACAATATTATTTTTATTGTGTTTTTGCACTGTTTGAGCCTGCCACATTGTTTTATTTGAATATGTTGCGAAACACGTACGGGTTTGCATCTCAACTAAAACGTGAGTCTCTAAAAGTGTCCTTACAACCATATAGTGAACCGTTCGTTGTTCGATGTACATACGTCCGCCTTTGTAACAACAAAAATTATCAATCATTGTGCACACCCTAGAGTTAACCCAAGAAGATTTCTTGTTTCTCAAGTATTGGATTATATTTAATTCAGATATTTTATAATGATATATGACCATATCACGGCGCTATATCAAGCGTAACTCAATAACGTCATTTGCTGATTGGGGCCTAAATGACTCAAAATTAAAAGCTTAGACTGGTTGTATTTTGGAACAATAAATATGATATTGTAGTAAATTTATATAAAAAACAGTATTCGTAATGAGTTATCATATTCAATTTATTCTGGCTTACAGAAAAAACTTGGATATGACCTAATGGTACAAAATGATATCCGCCATTTGTGTATGATTGAAAAGAAGTAAATTCGTAGGAAATGGTACTGTTCAATACAATGGATATTACTATTAGGATATATTAAATATTATATTCCAAAGTGGTCTCCCAACGATTCCCGAAGTAATGGTACAATATGACCATGTTAATTGGTCACCAGTAAACGAAATGCCAGCAATAATATCTTCAGAATTCGACATGTAGACGAAGTATTAAAAATCAATTCTTGGATTGAAAAAATCAAGTATAATTTCCCGTTCATACAAACATCATATTAAAGCAAACAAAAAATACATATATTTATAGAGACATATGGTTTTTATCATTAAATGTATTCGGAATTGCTAAAGAGTTTTCTAATAAACGCGATAAATCGTACAATTTCGGTTTTCTCACTGCTTATCTGAAAATAAAAATAATTTATTCAAACCTCATTTTCATACCACGATAACATCAACTTTATTTTAATTATTAACCTTTATACAATCAGAAAATAAAATATCTTACTCAAATCAACAGGCCGGAATAATACAATTCTAAACAAAATTTACCAAGGTAAGTCGATCTGTTTTATGAAACGGATCATTAATGTTTTAAAAAAATAGCTTTTCTGATTTCAATCTCTAACTAAAAGCCTGCTTGAAGTCGAATCTAAATAACCAAAATTTTTACTGCTGCAAATTTGTTTAGGGATAAACTTATTAAATGGTTAAAAGCTACATTAAATATTTGTAAACGTCAGTTATATTTATTTAATTATAATTTGAACGTGGTTATACTCGAATGAACTTCAATATTTCTCCAATGATGTAAAAAAGTTGGGAAATACCCCCCGTGTCAACGACATAATTTTCCTCGGATAACGTACTTTTCTTTTGAATGACGTCACTTGACAAAAGAACCGCAACGATTGAAATACAAAAATTGTGTGCTTGGCTGCCTTCCACAAGCACTTAAGATCTGCCATGTAAGATATTTACTCATACTAAATTATTATTACGCTGAAGGTCGTTCAACTCCAGTTTTTGAATGTTTTTCCTGCTTTATCCCCAGAAATGTCGATGTTCCAGTTAAAATACTCT